TTATGACTTTAGTAAAAACCAATTATGACAGCAACGTGTCATTCATAATATTACAAGCTTGATTTGGTCAAAATGTGTTGAAAGTTTTCATAATTGTGTTATATAGTGCAGTGGTTGTCAAACTTCTCAACTCCAGACCCATCCAAAACTGTTTTATATTCTAAGTACCTCCATTAAACCTCTTTATGGGGCTGTGAAGTAGACAGAGCCCCCTGACTAACAGCAGAGACAGTATAGTAGGAATGCATGGATTTGTATCGTTCACTTTTCGATGTCAATAGGAGCCAATTCGAGTATAGGAGCAAAACTTTGTCCATGAGCACTTTCATATTGGGCTTAATATAGCTCACGGGTTTGCATTGTCCGTCTATATCAGTGGGGGCGGGTCCCGGCTCAAAAGTGGCAAAAAATGACGTGCGCTGACATGCTTGCAATACCACCCCGGGCCGATGGGGGTGGACACGGAATACGAATTAGCCAATGCTAACATATAGCATCTTCTTACCTCTCGAAAACACCTTAACAGGATGATCCAAAAGTTCCACATGTGTGTCAATGCTGAGGGGAGTGGATTTTTTTGGACCAGTCTAGTTTACTCGCTCGTTTAAATGAATGGGGCTCGTGCCGGCTGACGCATGCGCAGATACGTTTTTTTTTTCACATTTTCCAGTCCCCGCGACCATTTTGAGTTAACTCCACGAAAGCCCAATTTTTGGCCCACGTCCGTTAATAGCTAAAAGGTATTATGATGAATAATTATGAAAAATTTAAAACTTGTTTGGGCTGAGGAGTAAGGGCCACAAGTGCAAACCTACAATTATATTTGAAGTTTTTTTGTTTTTATTTTTTTACTTTTAACACTTAAGTTTCAATTGTACTTTTTGGGCTGAAAACAGTTGCACAGTCAATAGTAACACACGTATGGTTCCTCTAACTCCTGTGGAGATTTTGAATGGGAATTTCACTGCTGGAAAGACCCACTCACTTTGTAGTTCCATACTAAAACGAAAGACAAAACAGAAGGACGATATCCAAATATATATAAATGCAGACGAATCCATGTACCTGAAGGAACCTGCAAACACGTTATTAAATATGGCATCTCTCTTCTACTTAACTGAACTGAAATCCTGCCGTGCAAACCCATAATTTTACCCTATATTACAACCAGCACCACACCACATGTTATTTACATACAGTGAAGTGTCAGCTGATGCAGCGAGCCTGAAATAAGTGCAGAGCTTTTTCAGGATGCAGGCTGGAGGGCAGGGGCCTTGTGTTAGGACCAAAGTAGCAGCAAAAACACCTATTAATACACATCAGGAAAGTTCTGAGCGAGGCAGAGGGAGGGGGCAGGCAAAAGGCTCTGACTGGGGGATCACTACAACCCAGCAGGGACCTAAAAGTGGGTGATACTGACAGAAAATAGTATTTAAATGCAATATTGGATTATTTTAAAGCGACTATTAAGCCTAAAATGATGCTGTTTATCAAAATGAAGGGGTTAGGGTTGCGACAATATCTTAATGTGGGGGTTTGACTTTGAATTGCAACTGATTTTGGGATTTCCAAAATAAATTGATTTGATATTTGCTTGGAATTACAATAGACTCGCCTCAGGAATATGATATTAGAAATGAATAAAAGCTAAATCCGATTTTTAATTCTTTATTTGAAGTGATCTAAGTTGTTGTTCTTCCAAATCTCTCTGATTAAGTTTACCAGGGTGTCTGTTTTCTATACTCTTAAGGGAAAAAGTCTTATTCCATTACCAGATGGAGAAAAAAATGCAAGTAAATCAACTGATTCAAACAGACCATTCGTTTTGTCTGAATTATACATAATACTGTGATTACTTACATACATTATATATTACGTAAATATACAGATTGCCCTGTTCTAACTGCAGGGTTGATGGATTTCTGACAGCGGGCAAGGCAATTTCTTCTTTTCTTTTTTTTTACAGAATTTCAACTGCAAAAGCCTATAGCAGTTATTATTATGATCTGAAGCTATGAATGGGATAAGTTATTGTTAATCAGGCATGTCTACATTATTAGGTCAAACGGTAATTATGATTATTCAAGTCACAATATAATCCTAAGGACTAAAGACATACAAATACATCAGTCGTTTCAATCCAATTCCAGGTGCTCACAGCAAAACAGTGAATAGGCATTTACATGTAGCAGTATTTTATCATGATCTATAAATACATTTTGCGGAAGCAGCTCAAATCAAGAATAACATAAACCGTAACTTACTATACGAGCACTTACCCATTTACAGCTATTCACGGGCTGTTCCCAATTGCTTTCGTACTTGTTCAGGGTACAAATATATTTAACACAACAGGCCAAAATTAATACATATTAACAGACTAAGGGCTAAACCTGCCCATGTCTGCTTTGATAGTCCCAGTGTGGACTCCCCTTTGTCTCCAGCCCAGTCTTTTCAGTGCAAAATCAATACTTTTCCAGCACTGATCTAAATCTTGTTGTTTTGCAAGCTACATTATAAGTAATATCAGTGGAGAGGTGATCCGATACAATGTAAGAAAAGCAATTTGAAGTTCATATCAGATTGAGGTACATTCCAAGCAAGGCAAGAACAGCTCCATCAGAAAAACGCACACTCAATAATCATGAATAATTGAGAAATGACGGTTTTTCTCACGGTATTTGTAAAGTTTGAAATGGTGACATCCTTAAAACACAAAGAGCAATATTGAAACATGCTGCTTGTATAGGCAGCTGTAAAAACATGTCTGTATTTGGGTGTTGTTCAGCAGACTTTAAAAGCGTTTGCCTCAAGAGCGCCCATGCCTAAAAAAGGGAAATGATCAGAACACATGCAAATGCTCTGATGAAACCTACAGAAGCAAAAAAGCACGCCTTAAAGATCATGACATTGTCCATATGAGTTCTTGCTTTGCTCAAAACCAATATCCACAGGCACAATGCAACCCCCTGTACGTTATTTTAAAACATATTTCATCCAAACTAATGAAATTAATTTGTATTGAGTTCTGGTATTCTTATTGGCAGGGCTGATTAATATGCATAATTTATAGGGGAATGAATACTTCGACATGACATAATGGATTGAGTTAGAACACAGTTGGGCCAAAGGGGCTAAATAATGGATGGTTTAAACATAGAAATAAATACTAAAACAACTGTTAAATAAAATAATAATAATCAAAAGCCATGTATGAATATGATTAGTACATTATCTTTGACCACAAATAGAATATGGGATATGAAGGTGTTTGAGTCTCCTTCTGTTTGAGCTATATAGCCACTTATGCTTGATTCAAGAGACAGTTTATTATTATCATTATTGAATAGATCAGTGATCATGTAAACAAACAAGTACAAACTATCCTTTTGAGGTTGAATTATACTCAAACAGGTTACAAATACATAGGTTCCCAGAACGTGCAGGATTGGTTGTCTGATTCAGATATCAATATAAACCTCAGTCCCCACCCTTCACATATCATTGTAAAGCTCTTTTTGTAAGGGTGGAAATGTATTTGGTAAGGACAAGTGCTCCAGTTTTCCTGTGACACTTTGTCACAAGCTGATTTCTGCCTAATTAAATCTCCGCTAATGAGAGGAGGCTCTATCCAGTAAATAATGAATGCAGCTTTTGATGACTTATGAGAGTCTAATTCCCAAACACTCATTTGTCACAATATAAACAGCTACTAATGTCTAAATTAGGCTAACTTGGCCATCATTGTATTCTATTGATGCTACCAACACAATCAGAAAGTTACTCAATCATTGTATATTACATTTAGACAACTTCAAACATTGTCAAAATGGAATTCACTTCAGGTAGTTTTCGTTAGATCAGTAGTTCTTGAATTCTTACCTTGTTGTATCCTGAAGTTAGAAGTCAAAAGGTCTTTCCGTGCGTAAAGCCTGTTTGACCCGGGGAGCTGTCATGCTGTCCGCGGACTCAGTGCGCTCTGCAGGGGGATGAGGAGCAGAGACCTCCGCTGACAGTCCGCTCTAACCACCACTGCTTCTGCTCTCTTCCTACAAAATAAAAGGTGCAGAGGAAGTGGCCACTGGTGCGAATCTTCAACTGATTTATAGAATAAGCTTTAAGGCTTTAAGAACGGAAAGGAAACTCATAACTGTGTCGTTTGCGTCTGTTATGGTGATATACGTGCAGATAAGTCAAATAAGTCAATAAGTCAAAACTATGTGAAGGCAATAAATAATGATTACGGGCCTCACATCCATGGCGTTTCGTTCTTATGTATACATTTACAATATCTGTCATTATGTAGCAGAGGTGGCAACTAAGCTGTTTCCTCACTCTGGTATTTGTGCTTAACTTATCGTTCTGATAACTTTTTACCTTTACTATTCTTAATTTTAAACCCAAATATGTTTTACTTTCTTCTCTTACATACTGTTAAAAATAATGATAATAGTTTAGGGTTTAAAATAAATGCATACTATTGTCTTATTTAATAAAACAAAACAAAAACAAAGAACATTGAATTATATTTACTTACTTACTTCAAGAGATGAAGATTTTTCTTTCTCACAAATATCAATATTTTTTACTTGAAACTAGCACTTTTTCCACCTCTGTTATCAGTGAAATAAGTTTCGAGTCGGTTGAAGGTTGAAACAATGCAATGGCGCCATCTGCTGGGTGTGAGGTATCATGGATCGTAGAATAACTTAGTTGTCCAATGTTGCTATTCAACTGCATACGGTTTTGATGGGTTGAAATGTTTTGGTTTATGACGTTGCGTGGCGTAACAAAAATTTGTAGGTCATATTGCCCACATAACTGTGCAAATACACACCAGTCTGCATCTCTGGATTGGTGCTGATTGTTGTTGTCAAACGCGTCACTCAGATGCCAATCCCTCATTGGTCAGTATGGTAGCCTGTTGAACCAATCACATCCTTCAGGGGAGCAGCATAGACCCCACCTTGTTTCGGTCACGTGACCTGCGCTTGGGGAAGATGGTGGAAGTTTGTTCTTCCTTGAACAGAAACCGCGACAGAGACCCGAACATCCCGTAGGCACAGGGCCGGGAGTGTGGCGCCCTGAGTCCAGCTTCTCTTCAGAGCCGGGTAAGCAGTCGAAGGCCGCCATTAGCTCCAGACTTGTTTAGGATCAGCCGCTGTACTTTGGGGTTTCCACCAGCCATGATGATGACACAAGCTAGCAGGCTAGGAGCTAGCCGCGGTGGTAAATCTGTCAACACAGCTGACATTCAACACGTACTCGACAACTTCTACACCCAGGCCTCTGGCCAGACACACACTCACTTACTAACATCTGATCGTAGCTTTATTCTGTGTTTCTTGTGTGTGACTCGACGACTGCTTCTGGTTGGATTAAATTATGTAATCTTATACACCCTGTTAGCTTAGCATTTCCAAAAAGGCTTCTCGATAATGGGCTTTGCATAGTTGTGTCATGACACCATTAAACTAGCGTTATACATACCTATAACATTTACGTGTTATTAAAGCTTTTGATATGTAACTAACCAACCCTTAAGTGCTCTGCTGTGATGTGCCTCATTTCATGAAGTAAGAAGTTATTTTATTCAGCGCTTTCAGTGAGTTTTTTCACATTTAAGTTGATGTCAAATCTCGTCTGAATGATCTTCTGTTGATATCGTATCCCTATTGTTTGGATTGATTTCGGAAACCACTGATCTGTTATCGTTTGTTTACACTCGGTGGTGTTTGAAGTGAGAAATGAAATTATAGCAATGGCAGTATAATCAGTGTAGCTTCCTGGTAATGGCTACTTTAATATTCAGAAGATGTTTTGAGTCTATCTCGGGCTGCTTAATATGCACTAAAGGCTGTTATACCATACGGTAGGGTTTGCCCATGTGTCTGCAGACTCAGCACTTGTGTTGAATAATTGACCGAGACCAAAGCTTCAGTACAAGTGAAAGTTTACCCAGAGCTCCTGACTTCCCCCTGCCCTGTGCATCACTGATGAGGGGCTGACAAAGATGCATTATTCAGCGGAGCTCAGCTTTGCCCCATTCTTAACCTGGCACATGACTTTTGTTTTTAGCTCTTTAGTACAGCTGGAGTGTAATGACATGAGATTTATTTTTTGTGAATTTGTCAAATTAAATTTTTCCTTTTGATGTATATAAAGTAGTGTTTTCGAATGCAGAAATACATTCTAAAAAAACATATTTCAGATACAGTTGAAGTTTTATCATTACAATTGAATTATTCAATATGGTTTCAAATCGAAACTAGAGTTTATGTTGTCTGTCTTTCTTGTTAGACTTGAATCATGTTGCAGTGCTGTCCTCCACTAACCTACTGTTAAAGATTAAGATTTAGAATGGTCTGTTTCAGATTAAGATTTAGGTTTTTCAGGTTTAGTTTTTTCTTTGCTCTCTACAGTTCTCTCTATAGTTCATGTACTTTGTCTGCAGAATAATACTCCTGCCCTATGTCATGGCCGGGGGAACCACCAAACCACCAGGGACGACCAATGGCTACCCTCCGAAAGCACAACTACAAATCATTGGTAAGGAAGCAACATATCATTATTGCGTGTATTGGTCAGTGCAGGAATTTATGTAATTCTCTCTTTGCATTTTTTTCAGTATTGTCAGCTAAATTAAAGGAAAACAAGAAGAACTGGTTTGGGCCGAGTCCATATGTGGAGGTGACAGTGGACGGACAATCCAAGAAAACTGAGAAATGCACCAACACGCACAGCCCCAAATGGAAGCACCCACTCACTGTGTAAGTTTAAAACTTCCAATATTTTCTAAGAAAAAAAATATCTCAATATATTGTGTAGATATTTTATTTAAAAGATTACTGTTAACAGAAGTTTGGATTTTCTCAACTATTGCTACTTGCATTTGGCTATATTTTCTATCCTTTAACATAACTTCTCAATATCGGTGCTTGGAATTTAATTCACAATCATTTGGGCAACACTAAACATGAGCACCCCTGCTTTAGACGCATGTCTCAACATTAGAATATAGCTTTGCTGGAAGCCTCTTTATGTTAAAAGAAACAACACCATGCACTGAAACTCTAGCCACAGTGCCAGTTATATCATATTTTTCTGATATCATTTATTTCTAAATTTCAATTTAGAAATAAATTGAAATTCAACAATAGCTCAGTTGGTAGAGCATTGGCCTTTGAGCCTGAAGGTTGTGGGTTCGAGCCCACCTCAAGACCTACTTCACGACTCCCACTGATGACTGCTGTTGTGTCCTTGGGCAAGACACTTAACCCCACTTTGCCTGAAGCCCCCCAATGAAAGTTCTCAGCTCATGTGGACTCAGCACCTGCAGGAGGATCAGTGAGGGGCTGGTGCTCTGTGTACTGGGTGCAGCTCTGACTGCCACCCCCCCAACCCAGAAATGGATTAAGGGGAAGAAAATGGATGGATGGCATTTATTTCTCAATAGCTGATTTCTAGTTCAGCTGATGACCCGCAAATCTATACAACATCGCTGCTATTATGCTTTTTCAATTTGAGCCTGTGTTGTAATTGGGTTTTCTCATACTTTACTTTTGGAAAGTAGACATGGACCTCTGACTGATAAAATAGATTCAAGAACATAGTCATGAAATTATGTAATTAAGATTATGATAAGTCCACGTCTATAAATATCATATTCTCCAAGCTATGTCTGCAAAGGAAATATCACGATATGATTCACAATAAAAGTACAACTTAATTTTTTTTTTTTTTATGTAATGTTTTTAGAGAATAGTAATATTAATAGAAGTAATAAACCTCTCTAAAATGTTTGTTCTTTTAATCACTAGTTTTCATATGGATGTATTTTAGACTCTGTCATGAGCTAATCACCAGCACTCAACCAATGCTCACAGTTTGTAAAAGATTTCATGTTTTATAATGAGGTAAACACAGCATGTTGTGTTCTGATTTGTTCACTCTTTCTATTAGGAAAAACAAATGTATTTATGAAACCCAAAGGTTGCCCCTGTTATAATCTGACCACGGTGGTTGTTGTCATTTATCGGAGCGGAGCTAGAGCGCTGACTTGATTGCTCTCTTGAGGTCTGCGGACTGGGCACATGCACACTGGTCCGGGGACCTAGACCGGTTACCGTGACACCCCCAGTTCGAAGTGATGCACAGCTTGAGAATGGAATGTTAGCGGGGAACTTGTTGCTGAGCTCCTGTGTCGTACCTGTGATCGCAGTCGTTGTTTCTGCACAGGCCCAGACCAAAACATCACCAGTGAGCTATCGCACAAATGCTTTTGCGGTTCCTCAGTGTCATATCGTCCCTTGAATTATCACGCCCAGCGCTACTTTAACCTCAGAGCATGTTGGCTCTAACAAACGCTGTAAGGGCTCAAATTACAGTTCCCTCAAACCTGTTATCAAACATTTGGAACATACTTTGGTACTTTGAACTACATCATTGTGGTTTACATTTGGTTGAATAGTCATAATTGTCACTCTAATAATTGTATAATTGTCAAAATAGTTATGATTTACCTTTTCTCTGGCAGAGTTTCAGAAGTATAACCATTTCATTTGTAGTTCTGTCTGAATTTTTTGAATTTTTTTGTTCACATGTTTTATGAAATTGTCATTTTTAAAAATCAAAAATATGTTAATAATTTAATTGGGATATTTCAATTTGTTTTGAAGACACTATAACAAAATAATGATACGCAATAGAATAATAATTCACAATAAGATCACTGTCAATATTTCAAAAACATTCATTTGTATCCATTTTCTGAGGTTGCCTCACACTTTGTCCAGTGGACTCACCACAAAAGCATAAATACGACAAGGTTTTTTTTAATGCAGTCTTTTGACGTCTCTGAACTGACTTTAGAGACGAGTGGATCCGGGAGTTTTCCAACATGACATAACCACCAACAGATGCACTCTCCTAACAGGTGCGCTGGGGTCAACTACAGATGAATGGACAAAGTATAGAAACATTTTCTTCTGAAGTGAACCGAGTCCACTTGAAGTGTAAACACTTCACTTTAAGGACCTGAGCCATCTGTCCTGACTACAGACCCATTCTTCAAATGCGTTTAAAGGCAAAATCACAGTGCAACTTCTCACACCTGCTGTGCTTGTAATTCTAACCTCTTGTACACTATGACCTTCTTAAAATAGCCGTGATCTATAGTTTCTACTGCCCCCTGGGGGAAACTCATTGCATTATATAAGCAGTGTTTACTATGGGAGGTAATGGGAGAACACACACACATTCATGCAGGGTTTGTGATGACTAATTCGTCTCTAAATAATTTTTGATCCAGATTTTGTTCAAATTCATTCCGAGTCATGATCTTCTGTTGCTTTTTCTTAGTGAGCTCTCAATTTATCCATGCACTGTTAATAAAATGTTACATGTAAACATTTATATATTTTTTGGACAGGATTGTGACTCCGTTTAGCAAACTCGTCTTCCGCGTGTGGAGTCATCAGACTCTCAAGTCAGACTTGTTACTTGGCATGGCCACGCTGGACGTCAGTGAAACCCTTAAGAAGAATGACATGAAAAGTGAGTCTGCATTTGTATTTTTTTTAAACAGTCTGCTTCCCCCCAAGAGAAACAGACTGGTTTCTATTGGGGGTGAACGTGCCCCAAGTCTATAGAGACGGTATAACAAAGAGGCATTTGCAAAAACGCTTTTCTTGTGAAGACTTTCCCCTTAAAGGGCATGGGCACAGTGGACAGTCTAGATCAGGTGTCTCCAACCTTTTTGACCCAGAGAGCTACTTTCCCAGGATGATAAAGGCAGAGAGCTACTTTCCCAGGATGATAACGGCAGAGAGCTACTTTCCCAGGATGATAACGGCAGAGAGCTACTTTCCCAGGATGATAAAGGCAGAGAGCTACTTTCCCAGGATGATAAAGGCAGAGAGCTACTTACCTAGGATGATGAAGGCAGAGAGCTACTCCTTTAGTGATATATTGGTGTGAGTGAGCCTGATAATGGCTACAGTAATTATTTATCATCACATATGTGTTACTAATGCACAAAGTTAGTGCATTTACCATAATAAATAATGCTAAAGAATTACACAATCTGAAATTTCAAGTTTATTATTAGATTTTTATCCATTTTTTTAAATCCTTTGGCGAGCTACCTGGAAGGATTGTGAGTTAAAGAAGGAAAACTGGGCGCTGATTGGGACGGACGAGAACGTTGTAATGAATGCAAAGTTGTTTTTCATGGAGTAACTGGATATAGCAACAGCAATGCATTATACAGGAGTTCAAAGAAGAGTTGGGGAAATTGAGTCTCATGAATGTGTTATTCTTTTGTTGTTGCAGTCTCTGAAGTGGTGCAGACATTACAGTTGTGCACAGACCGGGAGCAGACAGATGTGGTGGGAGACCTCTCTGTTTGTCTGGACGGAATGACTGTCGACCCAGATATGTTTGCCACTGCAGAGGCCGCTCAACACAGTAAGTTAGGATATGGGGCTAAAAAACTCTGTCAAAGTATATTGTGATTAAATTCTGCACCTTTTTGGCTGTACAGTTCATCACTTATTTGTCCATTGATAATTGTTCATTCTGTATGTAGGGAATATAATGATCCATTATTGTTACTATAAAGTGTTGTAGCTAAGCCTCTAAAATGTGAGACAGGCTTCTTCTCTGACAATTTTCTAATCCAGGCTAAAAACATTTTTGTTTATCTGTGCATACAACTGAAGGATTTTGTCTTCACTCTTGTCAATATACTTTGATTATTTATGATCTGAATGCCTTGTCTGATTGTTTCCATCTTGTTTAGTTGGGGACTGAGTTGTGTATGAACTGTGCTTTACAAATACATCTTCCTTGCGTTGCCTGTCAGTATGTCATATCATGTTGTTTACTTTTTATAGGTACAACAAATGGGGATTCATCAAATCAATCTGATGGAGAATCCGTCATAAGGTAAGTTTTTTTTTTTCCTGTATTCTGTTATGAACTTTTATTCTATGGTTTTTGTTCCTTTCCTTCTTTAGACGCAGTCGGGACAGCTCTCCGGCAGTAGACGGTCTAGAACACAGGTCTTCACCTGGAGGCAGGAGACTTGCTAACAACACAGGTTCTTCCTCACCAAGCTCTAGACCACTGAGACCCCCAAGACCGTCTAGACCTCCACCACCGACCCCACGAAGACCTACATCATCACCAGGTAGGTTTATATATATTTAAATATAGAATCCAATAGAATACATACCATTACAATCTGGAAGTTTATTTTTATGAATTTTATTTCCAGCATTATCATCAAATGGCCCCACGTCTGCAGAGAGCAATGGTCAGTCTGGTTCTGAGACTCCGAGTCGAACACCAGCCTCTGCCGGATCCACAGCATCCGAGTCCAGTCCGTTGTCTGGTCCAGAGAGGAGTTCAACCGCAGCCTCTTCCACCCCCAGCTCCACAGCGACACGGCAGCCCACCAGCACTGTAACCCCCTCAGTTAGTCCAAGAGTCCCCGCGATGAACACTGGACCACTCCCACCTGGGTAAACATCTACTCCAGAAATAAAATGAGAGCTGGAGAATTCTTGGAAAGAAAAACACATGTTTTAATACTGCACAATAACAGAGAATACAATGTATTCTTATACCCTATTGTGTCTAATTAAGATGGGAGCAGAGAGTGGATCAGAATGGCAGGGTTTACTTTGTCGATCATGTGGAGAAGAGAACTACGTGGGAACGCCCTGAGCCGCTGCCCCCTGGGTAAAAACTTATTTTTCATCTTTTGTGGTCAGAACCTCGTCTCAACTCTTTCAGAAATTGTCTTTCTGTGTTGGCTTGTGGCCAACGTATGTAAACAGTACACACTAACATTTGTTTTGTAATTCTCCCATCTCTTTGGTCCAAGCTGGGAGCGCAGACTGGACCCTATGGGCCGGGTCTACTTTGTGGACCACATATCCCGAAGCACTACATGGCAGAGGCCCACTATGGAGACTGTGCGCAACTATGAGCAGTGGCAGCAGCAGCGCAGCCAGCTGCAGGGAGCCATGCAGCAGTTCAACCAAAGGTTCATGCTCGGGGTAAGATGTGTGTTTTCTTATTCCACACTCATGATTGCACTGAGCCAAAGCAATTTCCAAGTCTGTGACTTCCTGTTACTTACTTGGCAATAACAATGATTCTGATCCTGATTCTGATTATTCTATTGTAACACTGTTTTTTTTTTGTTTTTTTTTACTCCAGACACAAGATCCAGCAGCTTCTCAGGAGTTTGATCCTCTTGGTCCTCTGCCAGCTGGATGGGGTAACTAACTTGTCTCTGATGTTTTAGAGGTCGTGCTCACACTTTAGCTCAAGCAAGAAGGGTAAAAATACTTCACTTGTAGAGATACTTCAATGACTACTGAGATAGTGCACATTTGTTTAATGATTCTTACCCGATTGGCTTACTTAAGACTCACGTGTGAACACATGCATTTTCTATTTTGCTCATTTCCACTTGTTTTTTTAGAAAAGAGAACGGACACAAACGGTAGAGTGTACTTTGTTCATCATCCCACTCGCACCACACAATGGGAGGATCCTCGAACTCAGGGGTTAGTGGAGGATTCATATTCTTACCTTCCACCCAGCCCAAATCACACCAACTATGATGTAACTGTTTGTGTTTTGTTTCCCCCAATAGGTTGTTGAATGATAAGCCTCTCCCAGAGGGGTGGGAGATGAGATTCACTGTAGATGGTATACCATATTTTGTCGACCACAACAGAAGAACAACCACCTACATTGATCCACGAACGGGCAAGTCCTCACTGTATGTATTCAGTTTATTCTTATTTGTTTGCTCAAAGCCACAGTGACTCACGGGGAGTTCCTCTTTTACTATTCATGTGCCGTAAGATATGATCAGAATGTTGTCCAGTTTATTCAGTGTACAAAATGTGTCATTAAGCAAAGAAAAGATATGAAACAAATGTTTTCTTAGACAACCTTGAGACATTTATCCAAGAGGCATCACACAGATATGAAATAATTAACATATTCTGAGACGCCCTTCACACATAGACCTTGTTTCTGTCCAGTGTATTGAAAGACCATTTATTATGGGCTCTTGTTCACACGCGTCATGCTTTTTCATACCTTTTTAAATGTGTCATTTTTATATCAACAGGGAAAATGGGCCTCAGATCACATATGTCAGAGACTTCAAAGCCAAAGTGCAGTGCTTCAGAGCCTGGTGCCAGGTATGTTACAGATGCAATCACTTTAAAGAATGCACATTACTGATGATATTGTTGGGACTGTTTATGCGTCCGACATTCATGAGATGCAAATAATTTTTCACAGGAAAATATGATGAAAACAATAAATAACCCAAAACCTGTGCATGGTTTGAAAATGGATTGGTCGAAGCAAAAAGCTAATGTTAATCCAATCCCCTCCCATTAATTCAGACACATAACTACAATCAGGGCTGGACTGGCCATCGGGCGTACCGGGCAATGCCCGAAGGGCCGATGCCCATATTTGGGCCGGTCTGTCTGCTTCATACAAAAAACACGTTTGTGAAAAGTGTAAATCCGTTGAGAAATGTTTGAGGGGAGCGCGCGTGTGCGCGGGGCACCTGCTGTATGTACTCGAACGGGATTCCACCACCTCAGCGGCCGCAGTGTTCCCGCATCCAGCGGCTCTGAGCTGGACGCAGGAACCGCTCACCGGGAACCGCTCACAACACAACACGGTGAGCGCGTAGCCGCAACGTGACCAGGTAGCCAAGACCATAAACGCGCACAGGACCATGCATGTATTTTTGTAATTTGTGCACCCAATAAATACACTGCTGCAGAAAACAGTCTGCGTCTCCCCTCTCCTCTAAATTAAAGCTCGGGTACCTAAATTTTCCATTGCATTAAAAGTTCATGTTTGAGCCCAAAAGTAAAATGTTGTGAACAGATTAATCAGATTTAGAGCCAGCTAATGGCTGACAATATGCATTTCAGAAATGTTTTCCAATTCTCATCCCTGTAACAAACAATAGTGTTGTCTGTGTCCACCTCCCTCACTCTGAGACATGTTTATTACTCTGTTTAATGTAGACTATTGTACTTTATTTTATTGTTGAAACTGCAGACATCCTGATCCTCTACAGTATTTGCTTCCAAATACTGTATAAACCAGGTGTCTGCAACCTTTAGTGCCCCTAAAGTGGCTCCTGGAGCCTTTTCAAAAATGTCTGAAAATGGAGTGTGAGGGCTATATTTTATTTCTAGTTTGAATGTGGTTTCTGTAGGAGGAAAAACATTCTTAACGTTTTTCAATGCTGCAAAAACTTGTATAAGTAATATTCAATTTTAGCATTTCTGTCAACATATCCTGTGACGCGGCCCGTGCCAGGCGGCCGCTGCTGTAAACAAACCGGCGTGTGTGCATCATAGACTGTGTGTGCGCATGGATCCCAAAGATAAAGAGAGTCGATTGGACTGGACTAAGAATGAGAATGAACATTTGCTTTCAGTCAATGAGGAAGGACTGCTTCATGTTTGCGATGTAATGAAAAGTGTTGTTGCAACAGGAGGAACAATGAAGCTTTAAACACTGTTCACTGAAAGATTAATTCATCATAAAGTCAGAGCACCTATTTTCAGACTTCAAATACCTTCTCAAAGACGATGAAAGAAAAGGCCATTAAGGACATTCAGCTCCAGCAAACTTCAGCCTGTGACGTGATGGATACGAGCAGACAGTGATGCAGGTGAACTCGGAGCCAAAAAGCAGATTTATTTACTGTATTTGTACAATTGCATGAAGGTTAAACTTAAAGCAGAGTTGTCACGTGGTGCGTCATTCTCTCCAGGACACGCTGCAATGAAAATACACATTTGATAATCATGAATGGTTTTTATGTGTTTGTAGCCTTTATTTTGTCATTAAGATATTAGGCTAATATAGCTAATATAGCTAATGTAGCTAATGTAGCTAAGGTAGCTAATGTAGCTAATGTAGCTAATACAGCTTCAGCCCCTATTACCTTCATATAAGCCTTATACAACGCTGTTTTGTTTTTTTTGCGGCTCCAGACAGATGTTTTTAGTTTTTTTTTGTCAAATATGGCTCCTTGAACCTTTTGAGTTGCCTGGGCCGCTAAGAAGGAAAAAATGCCCGGGCCGTTTTTTTGTCCCAGTCCAGCCCTGACTACAATATAATACAAAAGAAAAAAATCAGTACCCTACAAATACCCTCCAACAAAACACATAACAGTCAAGGACACACAAATACACAATGGCAATAGACCAACCAGACCAAGACACTCCGTCGCTCTCATTCATTAAACTGAATATTTCCTAATTATCTAATGCATCGTTGTCCGTTCACAGCAACTGTCAATGTCTCAACACATAAAAATCACTGTGAGCAGAAAAACATTGTTTGAGGATTCCTTCCAGCAGGTAATCACACTAGTTTCTGCTTCCTACTGTGTGAATGCCATGTACATTTTAATGATAGTTCAAATCCCATCTAGATAATGAGCTTCAATGCTCAGGATCTCCGGAGACGACTGTGGATCATCTTTCCTGGTGAAGAAGGCCTCGACTATGGAGGAGTCGCCAGGCAAGTGTTTATTTCTCCACTAATTTTTTAACGAATTATAACTTAAGGCAAGTGTTTTTGTTAGCACAATTCATACATATGGCAACTCAAAGTGCTGAACCAAACAAGATGGAAGCAATCACACACAAGGCATTCAAATAATAAATAATCACAGTACATCAAAAAGAAAGTCCCTCAGTTGTCAACAGACAAAACTGTTCTTAACCTGGAATTAAACATTGTCAGAGAGAAGGCCTGTCTCACATTTTCTGGAGGATTGTTTCAGATTTTAGCTGCATAAATCTGAAATGCTGCCTCCCCATGTTTAGTTCTGACTCTGGGCTAAGTAAGTAAGTAATCTGCATTTATATAGTGCCTTTCACAGACCAGAGTCCACTCAGAAAGGCCCTGTTCCAACTGGGATTCGAGCCCAGGACCTTCTTGCTTAAATCTTACTTAAACCTTACTTAGCCCTTACTAAACCATTACTGAAACCTTACTTCACTTTTACTTCAACCTTACTTCAACCCTTACTTCAACCCTTACTTCAACCCTTACTAACACCCTTACTGAAACCTTACTTCACTTTTACTTCACTTTTACTTCACTTTTACTTCACTTTTACTTCACTTTTACTTCACTTTTACTTCAACCTTACTTCAACCTTACTTCAACCTTACTTCAACCTTACTTCAACCCTTACTTCAACCCTTACTTCAACCCTTACTTCAACCCTTACTTCAACCCTTACTAACACCCTTACTTAAACCTTACTAAACCCTTACTAAACCCTTACTAAACCCTTACTTAACCCTTACTTAACCCTTACTTAACCCTTACTTAACCCTACCCTTACTTGATCACAGGGAGTGGTTCTTTCTCCTGTCCCACGAGGTGCTGAACCCCATGTACTGTCTGTTTGAATACGCCGGGAAAGAAAACTACTGTCTCCAGATAAATCCCGCGTCCTACATCAACCCTGATCACCTCAAGTACTTCAAGTTCATCGGACGCTTCATAGCTATGGTGTGTACACTGCCAACACGATGACTTCAGTATGTCCTTATTTTGTTTATAATCTATTATGGATTCCTTCTGCAGGCTCTTTTCCACGGAAAGTTTATTGACACTGGTTTCTCGCTGCCTTTTTACAAACGTATTCTGAACAAGCCTCTGACCCTCAAAGACCTGGAGTCCATCGATCCAGAGTTCTACAATTCCCTCATATGGATCAAGTGAGTGACTTCTCTCTCCTTTTCTCTAGAAACCACAAAACTGCACATATTTCCTGCGTGAGGAATCATGTCCCATTATATTCCCAGTATTTTTATTATTATTATTAGTATTGTTCCTCAATGTTTAGTTTAGTGTGGTTTCAAAGTACTATAGACATGCATAAAATATCCTGTTTCCTTGAATTTTGTTATTTGAAAATACATTACATGAATATAATACAGTAATAATAAAATGAGAACTTAAGTAAAAAACAATATTCAAGATAAATAATAATAATTAAGTAGCCCTATCAGTCATTGGTCATTTGGTCAATTAATCAGTCCATGGCCAAAACCTGCCATATTCACTCTTGTCATCCATGAGTATATTTATAATTTTTCTTCACATTTCTATCAGGGACAACAACATTGAAGAGTGTGGCCTGGAGATGTTCTTCTCCGTGGATAAAGAGATTCTTGGAGAAATCACGACGCATGAACTGAAACCGGAAGGAGGCGACATCCAGGTCACAGAGGAAAACAAGGAGGAATACGTCAGGTCAGAACTCCTCCAGATGATTTAAACCTACATTTGGGATTTTGGTCATAATGTTAGTAGTTTTTGACTTACAGTAGTTTCAATTAACTTAAAGGTGCAACTCTGACTTTTTAGACATGTTCTAATTTTCCATTTACTTCTGCAATTGTGGCCATACTTGTATGCAAAAACCAGATCCCCTCAGATCTCTTAAGCTGTGCAGGACGGGAGTTGGTTAGTACTGTGATGGGAGACCTCTGGGAACACCAGGTGCCACATTTGGGGCGGCTGCAGCTAAAAAGTGCCAAACTGTCTTTGTGTCCTTAGGCAAGACACTTCAACCACATTGCCTAGATTAAGTCTGATGTGTGTGTGTGAATGAGTGGTTGTCAGAGGGGCCCAGTGGCACAGACTGGTTGCTCGCTTCTGTCAGTGTGCCCCAGGGCAGCTGTGGCTACAGTATTTTATCACCACCGTGTATGGAGTGAATGAATAATGACATGTGAAGCCTCTTCGAGTGCCCCAAAAAGCGCTATATAAAACCATCCATCCATCCATCCATCCATCCATCCATCCATTTTCTTCCGCTTTATCCGTTGTCGGGTCGCGGGGGCAGCAGTCTAAGCAGAGACGCCCAGACTTCCCTATCCACACACACTTCCTCCAGCTCGTCCGGGGGGACCCCAAGGCGTTCCCAGGCCAGCTGAGAGACATAGTCCCTCCAGCGTGTCCTAGGTCTTCCGCGGGGCCGCCTCCCGGTGGGACGTGCCCGGAACACCTCCCCAGGGAGGCGTCCAGGAGGCATCCGGAACAGATGCCCGAGCCACCTCAACTGGTTCCTCTCGACGTGGAGAAGCAGTGGCTCTACTCCGAGCTCCTCCCGTGTGACTGAGCTCCTCACCCTATCTCTAAGGGAGCGCCCAGCCACTCTGCGGAGGAAGCTCATTTCGACCGCTTGTATCCGCGATCTCGTTCTTTCGGTCATTACCCAAAGCTCATGACCATAGGTGAGGGAGGGAACGAAGATTGACCGGTAAATCGAGAGCTTTGCCTTTCGGCTCAGCTCCCTCTTTACCACAACGGTCCGATACAGCGACCGCATCACTGCGCACGCTGCACCGATCCGCCTGTCAATCTCACGCTCCATTCTTCCCTCACTCGTGAACAAGACCCCGAGATACTTGAACTCCTCCACTTGAGGAAGGACCTCTCCACCCACCTGCAGAGGGCAAGGCACCTTTTTCCGGTCGAGCACCATGGCCTCAGATTTGGAGGTGCTGATTCTCATCCCAGCCGCTTCACACTCGGCTGCAAACCGCCCCAGTGCATGTTGCAGGTCCTGGTTCGTTGGAGCCAACAGGACAACATCGTCCGCAAACAGCAGAGATGAAATCCTGTGGTCTCCGAACCGGACCCCCTCCGACCCCTGGCTGCGCCTAGATATTCTGTCCATAAATACAGTGAACAGAACCGGTGACAAAGGGCAGCCCTGTCGGAGGCCAACATTCACCGGGAACAGGTCTGACTTACTGCCGGCAATGCGAACACAGCTCTGGCTCCGGTCATACAGGGATCGAATGGCCCTCAGCAGAGGACCCCCGACCCCGTACTCCCGGAGAACCCCCCAAAGGACACCCCGGGGAACACAGTCGAACGCCTTCTCCAAATCCACAAAACACATGTGGACAGGTTGGGCGAACTCCCATGAACCCTCGAGTATCCGATGGAGAGTATAGAGCTGGTCCAGTGTTCCGCGACCGGGACGAAAACCACACTGCTCCTCCTGGATCCGAGATTCGACCATCGGCCGTAACCTCCTCTCCAGTACCCTGGAGTAGACCTTACCGGGGAGGCTGAGGAGTGTGATCCCACGATAATTGGAACACACCCTCCGGTCCCCCTTCTTGTAGAGAGGGACCACCACCCCGGTCTGCCACTCCATTGGCACTGCCCCCGATCGCCACGCGATGTTGCAGAGACGTGTCAGCCAAGACAGTCCTACAACATCCAGAGACTTTAGATAATCAGGGCGGATCTCATCCACACCCGGAGCCTTGCCACCATGGAGGCTACCAACCACCTTGGTGACCTCAGCCAGGGAGATAGATGTATCCGCCCCAACATCCTCAGCCTCTGCCTCTGTAACAGAGGACGTGACGGGGGGATTGAGGAGAACCTCAAAGTATTCCTTCCACCGCCCGACAAATATCCCCAGTCGAGGTCAGCAGCTCTCCACCCGCACCGTACATGGTGTTGGCAAAGAACTGCTTCCCCCTCCTGAGGCGCCGGATGGTTTGCCAGAATCTCTTCGAGGCCGACCGATAGTCATGCTCCATGGACTCTCCGAACTCCTCCCAGTCCCGGGTTTTTGCCTCTGCAACAGCCCGGGCCGCGGCACGCTTGGCCTGCCGGTACTGGACAGCTGCCTCAGGAGTCCCCCGAACCATCATGGCTCGATAGGACTCCTTCTTCAGCCTGACAGCATCCCTTACTGCCGGTGTCCACCACCGGGTTCGGGGGTTGCCGCCGGGACCAGCACCAGAGACCTTGCGACCACAGCTACGAGCCGCCGCATCGGCGATTGAGGCAGAGAACATGGTCCACTCGGACTCCATGTCTCCCTCCTCCGCCGGGACCTGGGAGAAACTCTCCCGGAGGTGCGAGTTGAAAGTCCGTCTGACAGGGGGCTCAGCGAGACGTTCCCAGCAGACCCTCACTATACGCTTGGGTCTGCCAGGTCTGACCGGCTTCTTCCCCTGCCAGCGGATCCAACTCACGACCAGGTGATGATCGGTTGACAGCTCCGCCCCTCTCTTTACCCGAGTGTCCGAGACACGCGGTCGAAGGTCAGATGATACGACAACAAAGTCGATCATCGACCTCCGGCCTAGGGTGTCCTGGTGCCACGTGCACTGGTGGACACCCTTGTGCTCGAACATGGTGTTCGTGATGGACAAACTGTGACTGGCACAGAAGTCCAACAACTGAACACCGCTCGGGTTCAAATCAGGGGGGCCGTTCTTTCCGATCACCCCTCTCCAAGTGTCACTGGCGCCTCCCACATGGGCGTTGAAGTCCCCCAGGAGAATGACGGAGTCCCCGGGCGGTGCACCGTCCAGTACCCCTCCCAAGGACTCCAAGAAGGCCGGGTACTCTGCACTGCTGTTAGGCCCGTAGGCCGTCACAACAATGAGAGACTTGTCCCCCACCCGGAGGCGGAGGGACGCGACCCTCTCATTCACCGGGGAGAACTCCAACACATGGCGGCTGAGATGGGGGGCAATGAGAATGGCCACCCCAGCTCGCCGCCTCTCCCCGCGGGAAACTCCAGAAAAGTGGAGCGTCCAACCCCTCTCAAGGAGTTGGGTTCCAGAGCCCAAGCTGTGTGTGGAGGTGAGGCCGACTATCTCTAGTCGGTATCGCTCAACCTCCCCCACAAGCTCGGGCTCCTTCCCCCCCAGTGAGGTGACGTTCCACGTCCCAAGAGCCAGATGTTGTGTGTGCGGACTGGGTCGCCGAGGTCTCCGCCTTCGACTGCCGCCCAGTCCTCTCAGCACCGCGCCACCACGGACCCCTCTGCAGGTGGTGGGCCCACAGGAGGGACTGCCCACGTCATCCCTTCGGGCTGAGCCCGGCCGGGCCCCGTGGGCTAAGGCCCGGCCGGGCCCCGTGGGCTAAGGCCCGGCCACCAGGCGCTCGCATACGAGCCCCGACCCCAGGCCTGGCTCCAGGGTGGGGCCCCGGCTGCGCCATGCCGGGCGACGTCACTGCTCTCGTTATAGTGCGATCCAATATATATATAAAACCAATGCATTATTATTATTAATTCCACTTTCAGTGTGAAACTAATATGAGAGACCAATTATAAGCAAATTGAGAAATACTGTATCCAGAAAATCTTAGTCTATTTTAGTCTATAAGTAAGTCATCTTTATCTATATAGCAACTTTGCTGTTGGTGTCACATTTTCAGTAGAATTATGAACGATATTCTAATTTTCAGAGCTTCACCTGTATTACTATCATTATCATTATTATTATTATTATTTGTATATGTGTGAAGATCTTTTAATGAAATAAAAACCACATCTTCATAAAGACAATGTTATTTGAAATGTTTTGTCTCGCCTCAGACTGGTGGCCGAGTGGCGGTTATCCAGGGGCGTGGAGGAGCAGACACAGGCATTCTTCGAAGGCTTCAACGAGGTCCTCCCTCAACAGTACCTGCAGTATTTTGATGCCAAAGAGCTGGAGGTATACAGCCAAAGACAGACGGGGAGCAGATGTTGTTCCGGGAGACGCATGGCAAATCTAATTCCACTTTCTGTAGGTAATGCTGTGTGGGATGCAGGAGATTGATCTTGGCGACTGGCAGAGGAACACAATATACAGACATTACACCCGCAGTACCAAGCAGATCGTCTGGTTCTGGCAGGTCAGGCACCAATGTTAATGTAATGAAGTTGTTGTAATGTATTTAGTGTTTGTTTTCCTTTCTGTTCCATGCAATTGAACATTTTGCTTGTGTTGTAAACTAAACAATATTTTCAATGATTTATAAATTAGTTTATGAAAGAGATGGACAATGAGAAGAGAATGAGGCTGCTTCAGTTTGTGACCGGAACCTGCCGTCTGCCCGTCGGGGGATTTGCTGACCTTATGGGTAACGACTTCTTTGATTAGTTATGATCTATGTACTAATGCGTGCAACAAATCCACTTATTTGTTTTTGTTGTTTTGTAGGGAGTAATGGTCCTCAGAAATTCTGTATTGAAAAGGTTGGGAAAGAAAACTGGCTACCCAGAAGTCACACGTGGTGAGTGATCGCTCTTTAGACATGTGTAATAATAATAGATTTGTGTGAGTCCCAGACCAGAGCAAGTTAGTTTTAGTCTAGTCCCAAGACCTGAGCCGCAATCCACAGTCCGCAGTGTAACCCTGGGGCTAGTTTTTTGCATGTGAAACGTGAAAAGTCTGGATTTGAGGGTTTTTCTGGGCTGAAACCAATATTGACAATTGTGGTCAACATTCAAGAGCAGCTTCAGTGACAGACTTATTCGTCCTCTCTTTGTGAAGAAGAGGTTTCGTAAGTCCCTCCTCCCTGCTGCTGTCAGACTGTACAACGAACACTGCTGAGCCTGTACAAGTGTCACTGATAATAATTCACTAGTCACTTCACCTGTTGTTATTATTATTATTATTATTATTATTAGTGAATTACTCATCTGATATTTCAGTCATTCACTAGTGAATTTACCTGCTGCGATTTCAACTATTGTTCATTCAGGTCCTATTCTCTGCTGCTAAAGTACAATATACAAATACCTCTGAACCAAGTGCTGTAATGTGCGCAACGATGCACTGTGGGAGGAATAAAGGAATATATAATCTTATCTTAATATAAAACTGTAAACATATAATATTATATGGAATACAAAGTCCAACACTTCTAAGTTTTGTTAACCAGACTCACAATAAATGGAGCATCCACTTTATCTGGGTTTAATGTAACCTCAGACTTGGAGATGAAGTGCCGGCGGTGGATAGAACTTCCAGGAAACAGATTCTGACTAGTTGTCTTTGTGATAAGCTTGTATTAAAACGAAAGTGACTTTAAAAATAAGGTTTCTTTCATTTGAATAATTTTGCTCCAAGAACTACCTGTTATGAGTTTTCTTTATTTTCACTTTTCTCTGTTTTGCACAAAAGAAGACCTGAAGTTGTTTCTCTCTAGTGATATTTCTTGAGTGTGTTTGTTGACCTTCATGGACGCTGCAGTAGTTGCATTTGTTTTCCTCGTCTATAAAGCCTAGTGTAGTAGTTTTCTGTTTCCTTTTGGGTTTTTTTCTGTACTTTTGACCTTGTTTTATTAATGTACTTGTCTGGTGCACACTGGGGACCTTTGCGGATGTATTCCAATGTGGTTTTACTGCAAATGGCAAATCAAATGAATCTCAATCTGCTTATGTAACTGGACTTTTTGTCTCTCGCAGCTTCAACAGACTGGATCTGCCTCCGTACAAGAGTTATGAACAGCTGAAGGAGAAGCTGATGTTTGCCATCGAGGAGACGGAGGGGTTCGGACAGGAGTGAAGAGGCCGGAGTCACTGGTGTTTAAATCAGGGATTGTGTTGCAACAAGAGTCCAGCAGCTTTTTGAACTGTGGTCTACCTGTACGCACTGTGCTTCAGCAGGCCCTCTGTGCCTGAATGGTACCAGAAAATATTTTTATTATTGAAACCAAAAACACAGAACATTCTCCTGACTCTCCAAGCAGCACCAAAATATGCATGAGACCCAAAACCTCACTAAGATAATAAAGCATATTATTAATGACAGGCAAAAATAGTCAATAGCTTTTATTAATATGAAGAATATTATTTTTCCATATTTCATATACTGTCCTGTTGTTGGCATTGTTTTGCATAAATTATTGAACACAGATGAACTGAAAACTATAGGTCAATGCAATCTCTCATTTGTCATCATTCGAGTGGTCCATGGTAGAAAAGGTTGTAAAATACACTGCCCATGCCATTAAAAAAGGAAAAAGGAAATATTTTCAAAACCTGCCTTGCATGTTTTGCAGTTGTGGCAGTTTCCTTTTGGTCCCAACATATAAATGAAAGGAAATGTCCATGGCTAATGTTAAAAATCCCCCAGCTCAAGCCGAGCATGCACATACAGACCACTGCTTCTGACAGATTGCCCTAATGTCATTGGAAGAGGACAAATTTCCCTGTGGGGACGATAATTGTACCTCAACCAAAGAAATAAAGAATATTCTCTACCACTGAAATGACAAATGTTGACATTAAAAATTGGTTGCAGTTCAATCAAATGTGTTGCTCTAGTTTCTCAGTGATCTTGATATAATCTCTCATCAAAGGCAGTTCTAATCATGTAGGTGCTGGACATGAACGGGAGACTAAAACATAACCGATAGACGGAGAAAGAGCCCTGTGTTCCTGGTTCGATAGTACGTAATCTGTGAATCACTTCTTGATTGTGAAAAAAGTGTTGTAAGCCACTTATTTATAGACTTAAACTGACCCTAGTTTTATAGGGACAGACTCGTGCGCCGATACTGATTTGTCTGATTGGGGAATTGGTTTGGGAAAATAATGTATTTTAATACTCTAAGTGATGTTGTTTGAAAACTAATAATGAAAGAAGAGCTGAGTAACTAAATGTTCACGCAAGGATCATGAAACTGAACAAGTTGGTGTTAGAAGTGGTTCTGCCAAATGGAAAACGAAACGCAAGTCAGTCGCAATACCATATTATTCAACAATGATTTTATAATGCTTGCGATCTTTGCACTCGACATGGATGCAGTTAGTTTTTGGCTACTGTACTGACTCCATGTTCTTTATGTTTTTTTTATATATAAATCTCACTATAAGAAGAGCTGTGACATCAGAATAATTGGCATAGTGATACCAAGTGCCGTTGAAGTGAATGTGTTGTGAGAGTATAGAGGAGAGTGTAATCCCAGTGTTATTTCAGGTGTAGCGCTAACGGCTCATCGCGGTGACGCTTCATGATCCTTTGAAAGTTTGTTGTGTTGATATGAAGCAGAAGTGGGAGAAGCTTTTTGTTGATGTGACATTAAAAACAACGACTCATTAAAAACCTAATGAATGTACCGCTGTAATAGACTAATGCCGACATTGTCAGTGTTGTATTGATCTTAAACTGTTGATTTAAAATAGCAGAAACATGGTTATTGAGCATTTCTGTAAATAAGATTTTTTTTTGAACTCCAAACCACTGTCTCCTGTACATGAAACACTGTAAATGGTGTCAATAACAAATTTTCTTTTCTAAAAGAATGGTTTTAATAAGAGGTTTATGGTGACTACTTTTTTCTTTGTCCATGTCACTTGTAATATCACAGATAAGTGCCATAAAATACAAATATAACATGTCACAATAGTAAATGAATACTTCTGGACATTTATTACAAATTGTATTTTTTTAACCAAACCCTAATATTGACTGTTTCCCTCTAACACCATCTAGAGGCGAAAATAATATAGAATCAAATGTCTTCAATGTTTGTATATACTTATATTTACATTTGTACATATACTTTTCATAGCTTATATTGTATATTAAAATATATTATCTGACAGATTTATTTAAATAACAAACATACATCCTTTTAAAAGAGTCTAAAGACAAGGCTGCTGTAAACAATTTGGATGCAGGTCTTGGTTCCTCTGCTGCTCTCCCTCCTCTCTGTCCTGGAGCTCCACGATGGACAAAGCAGCCCGACAGTTCTCGTCTCTTTCTGCCGCACTCTCCTCCTGTGAAGCATTTATCTGCGTGTTTGGATCCTCTTCCACCCCAATGTCTGTGAATTGGCTTTGGTGATTATTATTGTCATCCCCACTCTTGTCGTCGTCCTCCTCGCCGTCCCCCGCCTCATCCTCAGTCCCCGGCGCGCTCCCCAGAGCTGGACACTTGTGGTCCCTGTAGTAGCTGTGTCTGGTGAAGCCTTTGTTGCAGGAGGAGCATCTGAAGCGGTAATTGTCCGTGTGAGATTGTTCGTGCTCCAACATGTGTGCTCGCCGACTGAAGGCTTTCTGACAGAACATACACTTGAATGGCTTGATCCCTGAAGACACAAAAGACGTTTCAACACAAAATGTGGATGTAACAAAGATATACAAACCTTTTATTTGAGTTGATTTTAAAAGCTTTGAGATTAAGAGTTCAATTGATTCCTTCTTAGTTGAAACTATAGTTTATTTCACGGTAAATCCTGAGATAGTGATGTACTTATTTCCCCATACCCTCACCTGAATGAGACAGAATGTGAGCCTTGAGTTTGTCTGGTCTGTTGAACTCTTTGGGACAGCCCACATGTGTTCTGAAAAACAAAACTATCTTTAAATGAACCGTAAGGCCGTAATGAAGGGATTCTCGTCTCAAACATACCTAAAAGGGCACTTGTACTTCTTGAAGGGCTCATGAATAAGCATATGTCTCTTGACTTTGTCCTTTCTGTTAAATGTGGCATCACATAATGAACATTTGTAAGGCTTCTCTCCTGGAAACATGTGAATGATTGACAGTTACACATTTATTACATTTATTACATCTCTAACGATGTGAGAAGATTTAGCACTTTCAGTTGTGTGTGTACCTGAATGAATCCTTGAGTGCAGTTTGAGGTAGTGCTCAGTCTTAAAGGCCTTTTTACAAATCTGACACTTGAACCTGCGGCCGAGACCGTGTGTGGGAAGGTGCCGTCTGAAGTACCGCTCACAGGGGAACACCTGAACACCAAGGACATAAGGAGCTATAGGTTCAGACTGGACGACCTCTCTCCTGTGGTCAATAAGTCACCGCTTCACATCAGACACACACCTCTCTACAACTACACTCAGTATCCACCTTCATTCTTCACCTCAAGCCTTAAAACAGTGCTTTGAATTCTGGCGTTAAAGCTTTCAGCCATCACCCCCTCAACAGTGGGACATCCCTCCAGCATATTTCTGCCATGTTCTACGTACCAAAATTAAATCCAAAATTTTTCTTGTCAATAAAAATAATGTTACACCATATACGGGTGTCAGTTGTCTGATAATGCAGAAACCATATACTCCATGTAACTAACTGTTGGAACCAAGTCTCAGCGCTGCAGAAAACAGGGGTGGCTTTCACATATTATTTGAACATACCTTCTGGCAGTGTGGACAGGGAAAGCTGTGGGACGCAGTTAGTAAATGTTGTTCCAGGGCCTCTTGTGTCGAATATCTGCTTTGGCACTTCAAACACCTGAAGAACGGAATAACGGCAACATTATCTCGCTGCAAAGTATTGAATTATCTGAAGATTTCCTCAGAGCCGCACCTGTAGACGGCGGCCTCTTTGTGCGTGCTCTGCTGGGGACAGAAGCAGTGGGAGTACTGGTGCACGCCCAGTTCAAACAGCGATGGGAACACTTTACTGCAGAGATGACAGCGGTACGTCAGCTGCTCCTGGTGAGTCTGGATGTGTTCAAGAAACTGGTCTAACTTCTGAAACGTCTGGGAGCAGGACTTAAGCACGCATTTATAAACCTGTAACAAAGCCGTATTTTACTAAAAACAACCCATCAAATGCACTGTACGTGTTGGTTCCACTCACCTGCTCTCCTTTGTGCTGGGTCAGATGAGACTTGAGTTGAAAGTATGTTTTGAACTTGTTGGAACAGAATTGGCACTGGTAAGAGCTGTCTATCACCACCATCTGTTTGCACTGAGTTGGGTTCTGTTGGCTTTGTGGCGCCGCGCTTTGGTTTTGAGAATGTTCGTTTTGTGTTATGTTTACTTGACCTCCTCCTGGATCGGCGGGTTGTATTGATGTCACACTTTCTTCGAGCTCCATGGCAGCTTCTGCAAACAGCAGTGGGTCTCAATATCATATATTTTGAGTAGCTCCTAAACTCTGAAAGTAGCAATGTGTAAGATTTTCATGTCAAGTCATCATTAAAGGGCCCTAATTGGTCAAAAGGCATTAATAAACCATGCTCTTTTCCAATACTTATTTAACTGATAATCAAATTAGTTTTACAGCCACTAATTCTTGTAATTGTTTTCATTCTGATGTCCCGCCCTCATCACGTCGAGCTAATCTCACTGTTAAAGTAGCATGTGGCCACAGAACTAAAAAAGGACATGTTTTGATTATCAAATCATTTATGACAAAACAAGAAATAAAATGAGGATTTCTATTGGGGCCTTTGTGAAGAAGGTGTTGGTTATAGACTTGCTGTTGACTAAACTCTTCAGTTATTATTTTCCCAGCTGAGTTTGTCTGCATATCTGAGTCAGAGAGAGTGCAATACCACTTTTGGCCAGATGTTTACATATTGCTCCTTTAAGTAACAACTACTAGTCCAATAAATCGATATTTTTATGTTACTGTTTTTTCCCTTGTTTAAATGATAATGTTCCAAAATATGACCCATAACATTATAACACTGGGGGCTATGAACTATTGCATGGGTAATGGCAGAGGCTGTTTTCTATGTAGTATTCAGTAAAAACAGTTTTTGTTGGTCCATGTTTCATGTGTAATCTGAACACAAATTTAAAACAGCACTGCATAATTCACTCAGAAGTGTGACCTCTATGGAATTAGTTTAAAATAGAGAACTTTTAAAGGTGCAATATGTAAGATTTTATGGTCCTAATTTTTTATGGCCCTAATCTGTCAAAAAGCATTAATAAAACATGCTCTTTTTGAATACTTCTTTGACTGTGTGTGTGTGTGTGTACGTGAGTGTGTGTGTGAGTGTTCTCGTTTGTGAATATTTTGCCCATATGGCTGTTATTGGTTGGGGGAATGTCTTAATTTTAGATCACTGTTGTAAATATGTGTTTTAGGGCTAGGCCTATTTTATTCATTCTGTATAATGTGTTGCACTGTAGGGAAAAGCTCAACCAGGGACAGGAGTTGAAAATTAGCATTAGCTATACACTCTGTATGTGTCGCATCAGCTGCATTTTCATAATGTAACTATGTATGACTACATTGTCCCTGTCAAATAAATGAATAAATAAAAAAAAATAAACAAAACTGATAACTGTAGTTCACATATATTTGGATTTCAAAATTTGTTTTACAGCCCCTAAATCTTGTTATTGTTTTTATTCCCATGTCCCGCCCTCCACTGTTTTACCAATCAGACAGTCTGTAATCCGGGTTGCCAGAATTCACCGCGTCGAGCTAATCTCACTGGTAAAGAAACATGTGGCGCAGAACTAAAAAATGTCTTGTTATGATTCTCAAATCATTAATGACAAAACAAGGAAAAAGCCAGGATTTCTACATTTGTGAAAAAGGTGTTGGTTATAGATTTGTTGTTGACAAAACTCTTTTATGCTATTATGGTCCCAACTGGATTCGTCTGCATATCTGGCAACCTGAGTCAGGGAGAGTGGGAGAGGCTGCAGTACCACTTTGGGCCAGATTTTTACATACCGCTCCTTTAAATAAACCAGTCAAAGTGCCTCTGATCCATCTTTCCCTCTTTATCTCTTTAGTGTACAGTAAAGTAGACTTTACAGACTTTGTTCAGAGAAAGTCGACATGTACCAGTCTGAGGGTGCGGCTCCTCCGCCTGTGTCTGGACGCTCTGCTGTTGAGACTCCTCCACTTCCTGTTCCATCGGCTGCTGTTCTTCTTTGCCGTCTTCATCGTGGGACGACATCGGCAGCACTTTGACCGTGACTGGAGATCTACACACTGTGCTGGCTGTTCCCATCGGCCATACCTTTCATGAATTCGGCAATAGTTAGTTAAAAAAACAAAAAAACATTGGATTTTTATAACCAAACTCTATCCACTGCTTCACCTTGTGTGTCTGCATGTGCTTCTTCACATTGGATTTCTGGGCAAAGGCTCGTCCGCAGACAATACACTGAAAGGGTTTCTCTCCGGTGTGGCTGCATATAAGTATAAACACATCATTTAAAATAAAAAGGGATTTTACTAATACCTCAATCATTGTAGCAGTAACCCACCTTCGTATGTGCTGCTGAAGATCAAAGTTTTTAGAGAAGGTTTTTTCACAGAAATTGCACTTGAGCTTTGGACCCTTCCCTTTTAAATGCTCTGCCGTGATGGAAAGCCAGAAGTAAAATAATTGTCTCAGTCAGATCAATATGTTTTTCCTCACAGACCTGTTTCTCCTTCTGTGCCTTTCTTGCAGATTCGCGGACGTTTGGGAATAATGACTTTTTCAAACTCTTCCATCTCGTTCATGTTGTTGGTGACGCTGCATGTTTTGGTTTTGGATCCTTCTTTTCCAGGACTGTAAACGGGAGGCGTGGTGAAGGACTGACTTCCCACACACTGACTCGGCACCTACGGGTGACAGGAAAACTCAGGTAGGAACAACCACTTTTGAGAATGTTGCTTTTGATTTGAGCAATTTATAAGCAATTTGACATTTCAATGAAAAGCTATTCTTGGATGTTGTGGCACTGAAGCAATCGTGAAACATGCACAAAGCTGAAAGAGACATTTAACAGTTTGGGTTGTAACCAGCTGACAAATAATCAACACAGTCTGATTTTCAGTCAGTTTTAACCTGAACAATATTAGACATTTCCTGGGCTAGATAGATCTTCAAAAAAAATAAAAGGTTTTTCTACAGCCTGAGTTCTGGACTTATATTCCATCCGTCCAAATGAGCAGATCCCTCCTTCAATAAGATAAGATGGACTTTATCTCAAGATTGTGCAAACAAGTTAAATGCAGGATATATTATGTACAATAAAAAGTGACAATCAAGAAACAGTGTCAATAGTAGTGCAGGTTTTTTCAGTCCTAGTGCAAGTGACTTAAAGTGACTTATTGTACAGTCTGACAGCAGACCCTCAGGAGGTTTCGCACTTTTACCCACAGGGTTTTTGAGTTACTTGCCGACGGGATGGCAAGAGAGTCTTAGGACAGTGGTGATGATCCAGGACGTTTAAGGATATTTATGGACATTGGTCATCCGCCCCCTGCTGTGGGTCAATGGCTCCTGTGTGTTTGATTCTGTTTGATTCTCTGATCTGTGTTGGCAACTTTGTAAATTCCTTTCTGCTGACTATTGCTGTGATTTAGGGCTAAACAAAAATGCATTGAATTGCATTGAATGTACTAGGAAACTGTCATTGTCACTTTTGTTTTGTTTGTATGAATGCATGAATTTCTGCTGCCGCTGGACCCCTGAATTTATTCTACGGGGATCGATAAAGTATCTATCTATCTATCTATCTTTTCACCTGCACAGGATGAAACGGCTGCAGTCCGAGCGTGTGGATCTCTGCACTGGCTCCGTGTGGTAATGCGCTGTACACTTGCACCACAGAGTTGCTGTGGCTGGATGGGACCTGGGACGACAGATTGGGCTGGGACGGGGGCAGCTGGGTTTGCTGGGGCGGCTCAGAGGGCTGCTGCTGCTGCTGCTGCTGCTGCTGCTGCTGCTGCTGCTGTGGGTGGTGGTGGTGGTGATGATGATGATGGTGCTGAAGATACGATACTCCAGCTGTGTGCATGCTCAGATTGCTCTGCAGAGAAATGAAGACTATCAGGATAAGTATTGTCACACTTTTATTTCAGGTTCTTATGTTTGTGTTTGAGTGCATACAAGTTCGTGACAATCCATAAACGACTTGATTATTTGAAGATTCCAGGGAACCTACACTCCCTACATCTATCTCTTTATCTCTGTCTATTTTCTTTTTAGAGAACTGGTCAGACCAGACCAGGCCAGACAGTCCCAGGTTACATGCAGGCAGAAATATTTTCCATCACTGTTTGTAAATTGTTTGTCCCATTCACACAAACAAAGAGATGAATATCAAAAAGTTGAGGGATTAGGACACTTAGTTGTCAAGTTATTGAGATTTTTTTCTGTTCAATAACAGCTAACATTCATATAACCTCCTAATAGAGCGGTTATTAGTATGTCCAAACACGTTGTGCTAGAAAAAGAGACATTTCCTGGGCTAAATTAATATTTGTTTGGTTAGAAAAGTGGAAAAAATAGGAACAATCAGCGCAATGCAGTATAATAATATTAAGATTAAGAAAATCTTAGTTAACTTTAGCAAGACAAAAATGTATTATTTATGAATAATAATTCCTCGTGTTACCTGTACTGGCGCCTGCATTGTGGCCATCGGCTGCTCGATAGACGTGAAGGCAGAGATGGCTGACATGAGCACCTCATCACTGACCAGAACATTTCCCTGGACTAAAGTGTGAGTGAGAGGAGAGGGAGGCACAGTGATGTACGTGGACACCTGCAGACAACAACAACAACAACATTTTAAGCATATTTCCAATCTTAATCAATCCATAGATCCATACACCACTAATATTAACGGCTTATTAACCTCGCTTGCTCGGTCTGTACAGAGAAATATCAGACCGGTCTGATATTTCTCTGAACAGACCGAGCAAGCGAGGTTATTAAATGTTTTATTATATGACTATTTTTAATTTATGCAAATATCGATCGGTTTCGACTAGCAAAAACACATGCAACCAAACTGTCAAATGGTGACATGAAGAACTTGCTTATCAGATGATTGAGATCGCCCCCTGGTAAGTTCTCAATCTCTTCTGTGTCTTTACCAATGCTTTGTAGATATTTGTGAAGTATGTTCCGACTTGGTTTTCCTAATCGTGTGCGGACAAATTGTCATGGTAACGGTCCAAGATGGGAAAATATCCGACCGAAAATCAGCCAATCAGAGATCGCGTACGATCCAAGTCATATAATAAATCTCCATATTACACATTCTAGTTCATTTGTGTAATGTAAGTCTGACCTGTCTATTGGGAGCCTGTGGCACAGAGCTTATGGAGGGGACGGGAGTGTAGACGTTTGTTGAGGCCAGTGACACCGTGGACAGGGATGGGGCGTTGGACTGACACTGCTCCCTTTTGTGCATCATGAAAGCAGGGAGCGAGTTGAACTGTTTCTTACATTTCCCACACAAAAACACATCCTCGTCATCTGTGAAAAATCCATTCATATATTTTAATCGTTTCAATATGTAGAAGTATGCATTAGAAGAAGATGATGCAGAGTCATATGTGAACGTACCCATAGACTGGATAGTGGGAGTTCCGGAGACGTTTTGATTGTTAGGGTCTGGTACTCCGCCTTGGCCATCAAGCAGGGACTGAACGGCCAACACTGTCTGGTTGTCCATGCCTGCAAAAACAAGTAAAGGAGTCAATCAAAGCCAGGTTAATCGAAAACACACATTTAGATCACAATTTAAATAAGTAAGTAGCGTTTATTTATATAGCGCCTTTTACAGAGCAGAGACACAAAGCGCTTTACAATCCTGGGCATTTGTCCTCTTACTCTGTGCATGGAAGCGGGGTTGCCATACAGGAGGGACATGCCAGACCTTATGTGTTTTTAGTGGTGGGGGAAACGGGAGCACTTGGAGGAAACCTATGCATTTAAGTGGTCAGAAATAACAAATGCTAAAGGATGTAATTATATAGAACATTTTTGGGTGAAAATCTACACTGTTGACTGTGTTTTTGTAATTACAGGTAATAATAGACTGAATTCATTGGAAAATATGCTGCGAAAATGTTATCCAATAAAGTTAGACAAGTTCAATCACAAATTTACTAGCATTGCTCATTTGCAATTAGATACTTTATGCAACCCTAAACCACACACTATATATATATATACTTTTGTTTGACTTGCAGTTAATCAACAAACAAGTGTGTTGCTATAGAACATTGGACAACAACACTAGTACATATTGTGCTTGTAAACAAAGTTTCCCTGTAACTCCCCAGAAGATTCACGAACATATTCATCAGGTTTAATTCATTACAAACCTGTTATTATCATAGATCCATGCCTTGCAAATGTTGACATTATGACCATGTTTGTGCAATAATAAATGGAGAATGGTATATATTCATGCATAACTCTAAGCTCATCCAAGACTTATAGATACCGTTAATTTTGTGCAACCTGTAAAAGGGGCATAGCTGTGTCATATCTGTTATAATGGTTATAATAGGGAAAAGGGTGAAATACTTCTGCAATTATAAAATACACTGGACTGTTAAAATTCAAAATCCATAACACAAATGCATACAGATAATGAGGCTTGAAATTACGTATAAAACCAGAAAGAAACTGAATAATAACAAACCAGTTGTACATTCAGCATGTTTTTGCAACCTTCACCACTGTAAATTGGTCAAGTAGAGGCAATTTCGTAAATAGTGAAAAAGCAGAAGTGTGAATGTATTTCTCCTATTTACAGGCGTGAAATAAGGGATAATGAAATGTGTGTAATATGCAGGTAATAAATAGATTGTCCATACCTTCGAGTACCTCAAATATTGCCTGCGCCATCTTGAAGCTGTACTACTGAGTGATCGGAGCTCGATTAGTAAAGCCTGTCTGTTAGTGGCACAAGAGAACCGAAAAGTTTCTGATACAAAATACCTTAAAATATATCTATTCCAGAAAGATGACAGAATGTGCATGTTAAAAAGTAGCACACATAATAAATCGTACATTGAGCTGCCGGTGAAGGAAAAAATATGAAAGGTTCAAAGAAAGCGTTGCGTTATCATTTCTTAAAACATTAGGGAATATTAAACTATTGCTAAATTCAAATAGATAAAATAGCTATCCTTCCTTCATCCTTGCTCTCCATAATTGTTTTTTTTTTCTGAAAAAATTACCCCAGGTTTAATTAAGTAAAATTTAAGAAGTTATGTGGACGCTTTTAATAAATACACTACTGTTCGAAAAACAAATGAAGCAAAAAAAAAACTTATTATTTAATATTTTGGACGCGGCCAGTAGTTCCCATCGATGTTTCGGCGCTCTGTGACTGACAGCTGCAAGGACAAATGACACCTCTTGCGTCCCGCCCAGTCCCACCCTACGTGAGATGCGTGCTCTCGGCCAATGAAAACACCCGAATCGGAACACATGTCAGTTTCGCGGCAAAAAAGATTTCGCGCGAAAAGTGCCAGTCCCTTGTTCCGATGTAGATCAGCTGGAACAATAACAACAATAACAGCGGGGTCGTGGAGGGGCTTCAGTTCGCGGACGTGGCAAAGGGAGATGTACCCTCTGGAGCAGCGGAGGAACTTTTAAAAGGATTTATGACTGTATATGAG